GTGTGTGTGTGTGTGTGTTTGGCATTTTTATTAGTATTGATCAATATTTTTTGTGTTTCTCGACATTTGTTTTAGTTTGAGGGTTTATTTATTTAGTTTTTGATCAATATTTTGAATTACCTTTTATTTTTATATTTTAATTTTAAGTTTAGTCAAATTTTTAGCTTTGTGTGTGTGTGTGTGTGTGTGTGTGTGTGTGCTTGGCATTTTTATTAGTTTTAGTTTTTTGTCATTTAGCTTAAAGGATTCGTTTGGTGTTATTTTTAGTATCATTGGGATGCTATTATAGTTTTTATTAATATTTTGAATTAGTTTAAATTTTTATATTTTATGTTTTCATTTTAATTTGAGTGAAAGATAAATTAGATAATATAATAATATAAATTTTATTTATATATTATTATTTCATTTATTTATATTTCAGTTTTAGTTTTAGTTATTTTAATATATCAAGTTAAACTGAAAAAAATCTGAAATTATAGTTTGGGATGAAATGTTTATAAATGTTATTTACTTTATTTCAAAAGGTTTTTTTAAGTCAAAGTTTTATTTATTTATTCATTTATTTAGTTCATTTTTATTTAACGATAATAACGATAATAATTGGAGAGGTTGAGATTCTAATCTGAAGTTTTGTTGCCATCTAGAGGTAAGAATTTGGGTAGACCATAGCTCCTTTTTCATATGATGATTCTTTAAAGGGATAGTTCACCCAAAAATGAAAATTCTGTCATCATTTACTCACCCTCATGTCGTTCCAAACCTGTATGAGTTGCTTTCTTATGTTGAACACAAAAGAAGATATTTATATTTTGAAGATTGCTGGTAATCAAACAGTTGGTGGTTGCCATTGACTTCCATAGTAGGAAAAAAAATACTATGGAAGTCAATGGCAACCACCAACTGTTTGATTACCAGCAATCTTCAAAATATCTTCTTTTGTGTTCAACATAAGAAAGCAACTCATACAGGTTTGGAACGACATGAGGGTGAACTATCCCTTTAACCATCAAAAAAAGTATGTAATAATATATAAGCATCAGGTTTTGACTTAACACTCCTATTCATGTTTGTGCATTTGTCCTAACAAAATTATGTTTTGTACTATAGTTTGCACATAGAGTGCCTCAAGAACTGGAGAGTGTGAGAGTGCATGTAAAATATCCTCACTGTCTAGAATTTCAGACATGCTTCTGGTGTGCTCACTTCACCTTGAGCTTAAAATAACAGATCTTCACTTTAGTTAAATGTCACCGGTGATAAAAAAAAAAAAAGACATATTTGTCAAGAATAATTAAAGGGTAAATGTTTTTGTATGAGTTCGAGTGCATGTTTGTGTAACCAGGAGGCACCAGTTAGAGAAGGTCAGATGGGTCTTCCTGCCTGTTCTCAGTCTCAGATCCTGTTAATGGTTTCCCTCCGTCCCCCCAGAGGGAGTTACAAAACATAACCTGACCTGACCAAAACATGAGGCTTCTTCAGTCAACAGCTGCTCGCCTCAGCCAAGAACACATCAATTACAATTATGTAATGTTTCAGGTAGTATCAGTTACATTGATAATTTAATTTAATAACTTTATTTATTAGGTCAATATAACAACAATGTCATATCAGGACCATATCAGGACCATAATGAAACCTATACAAAATGAATAGGCTACCAAAATAAACCAACTAGATGATTTACGTGTTCTAAAAAAACTGTGAATTTTCACAAAAGTTGGTAACATGATGTTAGGGTGTTGTTGGGATGTTTCTATGTAGATTCTGGGTTAAAATAAAAAATAAAAAATAGTACAGATGAGTTGTCGATTTTTTATAAATGCATACGATGTGATTCATACAGGAATGTACAATAAAAAAAAAAAAAATATATATATATATATATATATACGTAAAACAACTTAGCAATGACTTTAAAATTATAATTTTTTTTTTTTTCAAATTAATATGTGGTTGCTATTTGTGGTAGTGGCTTACTGGTCAAAAACAATAAAGCTTGGTATTGGGTCAAAAGACATGAGTCTCTTTTTAATGTAAACCTATGACACTGATCTATTATATAGGCCTATGACAACGAAAACCTAAATAAATAAAAATTCCTAATAACTTTTGTTCCACTTAGGGGTGTCGCGATATACCGGTATTGACGATAACCGTGATATTTAAATAATGAAATATCATTATCGTGTTAATTAGGAGTGTCGCAATATACCGGTATTGGAGATATTTAAAAATGAATAGTGCTCATACAATAATATGACTCATAATAATCCAGCGCCATTAATCCATTATGAAGCATTAAACTCTCATGTGTTATTTGTTTCATTCATACTCGACAATGGAGGGCACCCTGCGCAGAAATTCCACAAGCAAAACTCAAAGGAGTGATAAAACAAATGACTTTCCAGGAAATCCCTTATATGGACAAAGGTATCCAGCTGTCGCTGCTGAATAAAATGCAGAAATAAATGTTTTGTATGATGAAATAGGATGAGAATCAGCACACGATTGCAACAGTGTATGGTTTATCTGTGTTCTTCAAGCCATCTCAGGCATTTTCATATGGATAATGTATATTTATTTTGCAATGCTAATTGACATAGCCTTTATCACTGTATAGAATACTATAAAACAAGAATCAGTTCACAGAAGTTATTTTAAACACTCGATCGACGCTATAAGGCAAGTTATAAAGTCAAATATATTCTCATATTCTCATAAATGGTCTTACTTTGACACTGTGCTAAACTAAAAATGGTTAGCAGTTTAGTCTCTTTTGTTTAGTGTAATTTTTCGTTTGTATGCAATGGTGTTATTCATTGGTCAAAAAAGGGGGGGAAAATAATAATTTGACAGATAGGATGATTTGTTTATTTATTTTTCAAGATTTCTATAGATTACGCAATATATCGTTATCGTGATTTTTTTTGGCCACGATAATCGTGTAGTGAAAAATCTGAAATCGTGACAGCCCTAGTTCCACTAAACATGTTATAGAGACATTATATGGCTCTTATACCAGTGGGGATGGACGACTCAAAACAGCCTGTAATTGTTTTGCAGGTGAGCTGTTGCTGAGTGATACAAGGTCAGCGAGAACGTCAAACTAAATATCTGCCACCATAGCAACCACAGATTCCCTCAAGGAGATCCCTGTGCTGAGGCGCATTAAACACGTGTATCACCTCCAACATGCAATTATATTGTTGCAAATTGCATTTGTGAAATTAATCTTGCCATATGAAAGGGAGAAAGGGGCAGTTTTATAATTGCAGAATCATTCAGATGAGGCAGATTGAAGCATGCTGACTGAGGTATGCAGTTATTCATCTTTAGGAAGCATAAAGGTCACAAACCTCACATCACCATGACTAAAGATTTTGACTTCTTAGATAAATACGAAAGACTTAAATGAGTCACACAAAAGCTAGTTTATATTTGCATGCAAGACTAACTAAGGTTTAACAAAGGTTAACTAAGGTTAAAAGATTTACCTGTTTATGACAGAACTCCATGATGACAGTCCCGGGAAATTTGACTGAAAAAATAAACGTGACTGTACATGCTTATTATGTGCAATGCACCTACTGTATTTACACCACACAGATTTGAAGCATATCATTTGGGATGCTCAGACAGAGCTAAGGTTAAAGGAATAGTTCACCCAAAAAGGAAAATGTGCTGAAAATGTACTCACCCTCAGGCCATCCTGTAGAATAGTTTGTTTCTTTATCAGAGCAGATTTGTAGACATTTTACATTACATCACTTGCTCACCAGTGGATCCTCTGCAGTGAATGGGTGCCGTCAGAATGAGAGTCCAAACAGCTGATAAAAACATCACAATAATCCACAAGTAATCCACACGAGTCCAGTCCATCAATTAACATCTTGAGAAGCAAAAAGCTGCATGTTAAGAAACAGATCCATCATAAGGGGGTTTAAACTGTCGCTAATCCATAATAACGCTTCCTCCAGTGATAAAGTCCATCCCCAGTTGTCCTCTAAAATCAAAATCCACCAGCATATTTTTTTTTAGAACTGTTTTGGACTGTTTTTACTTGTAAACAGTGCTTGATCTGTGCATATTTCTCTCCTGATTCAGACAAGACCACTTTTTCACTTAAGAAAGGATTCACTATTACAGAGGACTCACATTTTAGCAAGAGTTTGAAGTTAAAAATGTCTTAATGATGGAATTGTTTCTTACAAACACGCAGCTTTTCGCTTCACAAGTTGTTAATTGATGGACTGGAGTTGTGTGGATTACTTGTGGATTATTGTGATGTTTTTATCAGCTGTTTGGACTCTCATTCTGACGGCACCCATTCACTGCAGAGGATCCACTGGTGAACAAGTGATTTAAAGCAAATTTTTTTTAAATATGTTCTACAAACTCATCTATGGATGGCCTGAGGGTGAGTAAATTTTCAGCAAGTTTTAATTTTTGCATGAACTGTGCCTTTAACAGTTGGCCTCTTTCAGTGTTACACAGCGATACGGGGAAAAATGGGACCTGTTTTAGAATATAAATTATGGCTCTAATTTTCTTATGTAACCTAGAATAAAACATTTGCATGTGAGAACAATAAGGAATCCACAAGCTTGCTGTGTTTTCAAACACTGGTATGAACATTTGATTTCCAACTGACCACAAATTCCCAGAATTAAGATAATCACCAGATTCTATTATAACCGAAATGCCGCTGATCCATGTTTTATTGCTTTTTTTTTCTGGGTCAGTTTTCCAGCAGAAATATGTAATCCCTTACTGGAGCTTGGCCTCTGGTGTAAAGTTCACATTTAAGATGTTCACATTTCACATTTAAGCAAAGTAATAATGACTCAACAGTCAGGCTTTCTTTGCAATACAGAACATTGCGTGGAAGTCAATCATTCCTGATATACAGCTGTAACTCCTCCTTACAGATTATGTTCGGCTGATTCTTGGAGGCTACAGAAAAGGGCTTCCCTTCTCACGTTCAGCATTACCTTTATCAGTGTAGCGGCCACCTGCTCTGTCTCATTGTGGGTCTCTCATCTTCTGCTCTTTCAGTGCTTTATCTGTATCGGAAATCCAAGAAAGAGGGACAGACAGAGGAAGGAAGAGAGAGAATAAACATACAGTGCATGTTGCAGTATGTGTTTCTCACAGAGGAATGAGATGTGTGAGTGGGCTAAAATGTAATTCTCTCAGGACATATTTAAAATTCACTCAAAAATGAAAATTCTTTCAGTGAATAAATCGTTCTTTTGAAGTCTTTAATAAATCACTTGATTGAGTTCACATATAAATGTTTTTATTTTAAAGACTAGACTACATTTTGGTCTGTTCGTTTGATATACTTTTATGGTGCCCACAGTCCCCATTTATTGTAATTGTATGGAAAAAAACAACCAACATTATTCATAATGTATCCATTTATGTTTAACGGGAAAAAAGCCATATGGGTTTGGAACAACAAGAATAAGTCAATTGAATTTTGAATCATTCAATATAGCCTATTTGAAAAGAAAGATTTGTTTTGTGTTGCTTTTTTGTTTTTCTCTTTTTAGACACTCTAATTAAAGATGATTGCTTCCAGCACACTGCATGAGTGGGTTGTGTATGCAGAGCTAATAAAGAACAGATGGTAGACAAGAAGCCTCCTCACCCAAAAGTACCAGGCACAATTACACAATCAAAGTTACAAATGTGCATCTCTTTCTCTCATGTGTCAGAATAGTCGATCAGAATCGTATTTGCCCTAAAAGAGTAATAACATAAAGTTGCATCATTCACTTCTTCAGCAATTCTACCTCAAAGCAATTTTCTGTAAATCTGCTTTCATCCTTTTACTATGTCGCTCACAAGCAAATCATACTATGGTGAAGCTTTGGCTCATTAATATTAATTACTCGACGTGACGTTGCCTCAATTGGCCTAACCGATTGGCTGCATAGGCGAAGCTGGTAAATAAGCGGGCTCCTTAATATTAATTAGGCCACTTGACGCAACACTCAAAGAGGGTTACCAAGCAACGTAAGTATGCCCTAATTAATATTCATAAGATAAGTCTTCACGATAGTAAGGTTCGTAATTTCGTCAGCTTGATCTGAGGTGTGTATGAAGGATGTAAACGTTCTTCTTATGAGCCAATCACGTAGTATGCCCTAATTAATATTCATAAGATAAGTCTTCACGATAGTAAGGTTCGTAATTTCGTCAGCTTGATCTGAGGTGAGCCAATCACGAGTGACCCAAGGATTGTCGAGCCAATGGCTGATCAGACAGGCGCGCTCATAGTAGGAAATGAAGGGTTTACCTCCGCCTGTACGTACTCGACGACATGTGAGTGTGTTAGAAAGTTACACAACAGTTTATAAGGTAGATGTGTCGCACTGTTCGCAGGTTATGCGTGGGGTCCCAGTGTCCGGCTGAACTGCAGGGAGGATGGCGATCGATATGGAGCCCATAAAGAAAGATGCGAAGAGCAACCCGTCCGCCACGGCTAATCTCTTCTCACAGATCTTTTTCTGGTAAGTTTTTATGCCTCTAAGTTATACAGGAGAAAGAGAGGAGGGGGACAGTTACATGATCAACTTATGGGCCATTTTATGTGTTTTCCCTCTGAAATTAACAGCCTGTATCAAAGAATTTAAGCTTTGTGTCTTTCGTTCCCTTATGTGTACATTTTCTGACACTAAAGACATTATTAGTTCAGCCTTCTTTATTCAGAGGATTTTAGGTGTCTTTCCATCAGTTGTGTATCTGATCCAGTGCTTTGTTACACGCGGAAAGCTGGTCCTGTTCACCACCCACTTCTTTTCCTTCCAGTATTTCCAGTATTTTTCCCGGTGTTCACTCTTAATAGCTTTCATGTACCGGAATAGCCATGTGGGTTAATGACGAAAGAGGGTCTGACATGATAAAAACGTTCTTAGAACGTTCTAATGTTGGTTTCATACATTTCTGAAAAAGTTTGAAAAAAGTGACTCGTTATTTAATCATATTTGAATTTAATCTTCAGTCTTCATTTGAATTATTTATTGTAATTCTTAAAAAGAATTGAGCTTAATCATTATCTTTATAACGTTTTTTTTTTTTAATTCAGTTTTTTTTTTTTTTTTTTCAAAAAAAGCTTTTTTTAAGGGGATTACTCTGTTTGACATAAGCAAATCATGGGTTTCATAAAAGGTAAACTTCTTATTTTTTGAAAATGTAATAACATTGTTTTGTTTTTTTGGCACAGGACAAAAAAATGACCTCTTGTTTTTTTGGTTACACCACACTGACTTTGATTTGAAGGGTAAAAGTTTTAGAAAATAATTTTATTATAAAGCAAAAAAAAAGTCTGTTTTCTATGCCAAACAAGCCTTTTTTTCAGGAATTTCTATCTTTTAATGGGATTTTTTTTCATACAATCGCTGAAAAATTACACCACCTAGTAGCCATTTTTAACATTAATCAGAAAATATTCAAAACTGGTTTTAATTCAGAAATTTAAAAAAAAGTATGTTTAACACCGCATTCATTTTATTATCTGTCACACATTATTTATTTTTTTTATAATTTTTAATGTGATGTTGTTATTCCATTTTATTTTGTATTATTAGTTCATGAGTGATTGTGTTTTTCAGCAATAGTGTGCACCCTTAATTTACAGTGAAAAGAAGGTCAGGGAAAAATCTAGATGGAAAAATCTCCAGACAAGTTCTTTGTCCATTTTTCTTTTTTTCTTTGTTACTTTGCACTTTTTGTATACTTAATTTCCATGATCTAAATATTCTTAAAAATTAAACGTCTGTTGTCATTTGGAAGTGTGTAGGCCTTCTTGCATTATTATGCTGTTACATTATGATTATATATTCAGTGACATAAAATGGTCTTTAAAATGACAATAATATCGCTTATCGCAATTATTTCTGGGGCAATATATCGCACAACAAAAAGTTGTTATCGTGACAGGCCTACATGTTATGGACCCATATGCAAATCTAGCCATTTGGCTTTAATGTCAGAGGGGTTTTTAGGTTTTGTTTTCCAACCCTTGACCCTCAGGAACACTCTGTGCAACGCTGATAGAGGAGAGCATCTGTTACTGTCATTTTAAAGAGATTGCCTACCTGCATGTATGTATGTATGTATGTTTGTTTGTCATGAAACATATGGTTTGTACACTTTAGGCGGCTGTCATCACTCATCAATTATTCAGCATCCTTTGGTATACACATTTAAAGAGTTCTGTTGACCAAAATCCTCTTTTCTCTTCACATTTGACGTCAGCTGGCTGAACCCTCTTTTCCGTATCGGATCCAAGAGAAGACTTGAAGAAGATGACATGTATAAAGTGCTTCCGGAGGATGGGTCCAAGAGACTCGGGGAGGAACTGCAGAGGTGAGTGAGCCGCTGGGAATAAACCGACTAATCAACAGACTCTTCTCAAACAAACCCTCAGAGTATTTATTGTGAAATATGAGAACGCAGGCCAGTGCGGTTCCCAGTAGGTGTTGGGAAAGTGATGGCTCACACCAGTTCATTATGCAATGTTGAGTTTTAGCGAACATCTCTGTAATCATCCATACATTAACAATGTATGAAAACTGAAATGAAGGAATGAGTTTAGGCTGGTTTAGTATTCCTAGAAGGAGCCTTGGTTGGGCACGTGGGACCCGAGACCGTTGATCCTGGAGGTGTGGATTAAGATCAGACCCGGTAACCCAGGAAACTGTGTGTTCAAAATCCACAAGGGGTGTCTCATTAGCTACCACAACTCTGCCTTACAACAGATTTTCACAGAAGGACTGTCCTTGTAGACAAAATATGCTGTAAGTTGGCTTGGATAATCAGCCAGGTTGAAGTCAAAGTCGGATCACTTAGAAAAGCAATAGAACACCTCTTCTCCAGCCACATGATTTGGTGAGCATTCATGTTTGTAGCACAAAAGGTGTGGGACAAGTTAGACATTAAAATGTAATATTTAGGATTGGGTTTTTTTGCAGTGATAATCTGTAGAGCCAGAACAGAAGGGCAGATAATTTGGAAGGTTCTATTGTTGCTATTACATGAGCAGAACTCTTGGAGGAGGATCCAGAGAGCAGGGCGTGAGGGAGTGTGAGGTTAACGGCCCGTCTGGTTTTCCTGCTCACTTTCATTTTGTAGTGTACAGGAAGCCACCCTGAATCTAATGAGACAGACTACTCACTATGTGAAGTATAAACGTGTGTGTGTGTATATATATATATATATATTTATATTTTTATCTAACACTGTTGACTATAACTGAAACTTGAAATCAGAAATTAAGTTGACGTTACATGGTCTTGTCTTATTACGAGCAGTTCATTGAAACATCTTTCCTTTTGGCTTCTAGGCAATGCAGCCTTTTTGATAATGGATGGATAAACACCAAATACTACTTAAGCATTGTTTAGGCAACCTTTTAATTAATGCATTCTACCTAAAAGCATAACAATAGTTTTTCCCCAGTTATTTTAATATATAAACTTATTTATTGTTAATAAATGTTATAAATCTATCCCAATAATTATGTAATAAAGAATTAGAACGATCAAAGAAAAGCCTCCTCAAAAGAGTAATTCCCTCACACAACCAATAACAGTACATTTACGCATTTGGCAGACACTTTTATATGAAAGCAACTTATACCACGTTCCATGTGTACATTTTTCATGTCAGTTCATGTATTCCCTGGGAATCAAACCCATTGAATGGTCCCTTTTCACAATCCAGTAAATTCCCAATTACTTAGCAAGTGTCAAGTTTTGTCTTATCAACTTTTTTCTCTATTTGAATATCCCATTTCACTCAGAAATATGTCACCTTTCAGAAATAAAATGGGTTACTTGAGTATTAATGGATATTTGTTACTGTGCAATCCAAGATTTCACGGTGGTTATTTGCTCTTTTAGATTATTTGTCTCTTTTTGATTTTTGTAAATAAAACACACTGTAACATAAAGATCACTGCTTGCTATTGCCTGTCATGTAAGGCTAGTATTTTCTTCACCTTGAGGTTTTATTACATAGAAACACATAAGCAGATAAATCATTCACTGACCTCTTGTACAGCGGAGAAAACCACTCATAATCAGCAGTCTCCTGCAAAGTTTTTATCTCCAGCCGTGAATGCATGGAAATGTATGACAGTGAACAATTCTGTCATTCATTAAAAAGCACCTCCTCACACAGCGTTTCTCCAGCCTCTAATCATGCACTTTAAAATGGATCAGTGCTGGTTCATTTAGCACAGCTCTGGGATATGACATTAATTAGTGAAGCTTTTATTGCGATCAGCACCTTGGAGCGCACTGGGGCCGAGGCGTAAACACAAATGTTCTGCCTTGAAGTAAACTGTTATTTGCAGATGTAGAATTTACGGCCGGACGTTACTGCTGGAAAACATCAACTGAAGAGGCTCAGCAGCTGTTTTGAAGAAGCACCTTAGTAGTTTTCCTGATTTGGCTAAAATGTGTTAGTTTCTGGTCAGGATTGGTTTCTTGTGTGCCTTGAATGCTTTTCATGTGACCTGTATTCTTTACATTTATATGTTGTTTTACATGGCCTGTACAACATACACGCTTGTTACCTGTTCACCGGGTGGCCCTTGTGGTCCAGGACTGGACCTTATGTGGTCCTCATTTTTCATCCTTTTAAGCTGTGTAATAAATAATCAAGATTTATTCATCAAAAAAAGACAAATGTCTTCATAGAGAAATCTTTTGTAGACTAAGTGTTAACAAGTTTGTCTGTACGCTGAAGTCATCATACCGTTATGTTTTATGTGAGATGACACAATGTGGGTAATAAAGGAGTATTATAGTTGTTTTATGATATCCTATTTCTCTCTGTGTCAGCATAATTTATTAAGCCTTGCTCATCTTTTTTCTTTTTCCCACACTCATAGCTACTGGGACCATGAAGTGGAAGAAGCAACCAAAGAACTCAGGACACCCAAACTCACCAAAGCCATTATCAGGTGCTACTGGAGATCATATGCAGTACTGGGAGTGTTCACGCTTATAGAGGTACGTTCTGATCCAGGGCTTTGCATGATATTTTGTATGTGGAACACAATGTGAAGGCAGCGAAGCTCCCCTCTAGTTAACTATAAATCGAGTGTGTATTCACACTACATTTTAGGGATGCTCCGATCCGATATTCAGTATCGGTATCGGCTCCAATACTTTCATTTCATTTTCATTTGGTTACATTTTAAGATTAATTTAGTGGTTACATTTTTGCGCATTCATTTAATAACCATCATTTTTAATAAATAATAAATTATTCACCCAATAGGGATAGTTCACCCAAAAATGAAAATTCAGTCATTTACTCACCCTCCACTTCCAAAACTGTACAATTTCAAAACACAAAAGATATTTTGAAGAATGTTGGTAACCAAACTGTTCACGGTGGCCATTGACTTCCACATAGTATTTGTTTTTCCATACTATTGAAGTCAATGGCTACATTGAACAACATAATTTATTAAAATGTTAATAAAGTTTTATGAATTCAATTGATATAATTTTATCAAGATTATCAACATTTTATTAAACCATTTAAACAGATTCCAGAAAAATATAGGGTTCTACTTGCCTACATGTAGAAAAGGAGTGTAAACAATTGCCACCAAAATTTCCTCGTGTAAAGACAAGGGTGTGGATGTCTTTAGGAATGTGCATGTCTAATTCATAATTATTGCACATTGTTATTATCTGATGTTTCTTCTTCCCCATTATAGGAGGTGATTAAAGTGATTCAACCAGTGTTTTTGGGAAAACTCATTCAGTATTTTGAGAGAAATGAGCCCGATAACATGGCAGCGTTGTATGAAGCTTATGGATATGCAGCAGGCGTCTCTCTCTCCACTCTGGGTCTGGCGTTACTCCACCACCTCTACTTTTACCACGTCCAAAGAGCTGGAATGAAAATCCGCATTGCAATGTGTCACATGATCTACAGAAAGGTTAGCTTTTCTTAAAAACACAAACCTGCTTTTCCAGAAAAAAATTTCTGAGGAGGTGCCAAGTTACAGTGGTAGTACCAGGATTTTTAATAAGTACCATATCTGTATAACATGATGTTTACATGGGGTTCTTCAAAGAATGGTCCATAAAACGCCTCTGTACTATTTTGCAGGTGTGCCACATCTCTCTCACCCCCCACCCCACCCACACACACACACACACACTTTTTTTTATAAAGTGTCTGTAGATAAAAGCGATAGGAATTATTTTTTTATTCTTGGGCTTGGCTGAGGGTAATTCCTTATCACGGTATCTCCCACAAACCTTTAGATTTGTTTCTTCTTTTAGGCACTGTGCCTTAGTGCCACAGCTATGGGCCAGACAACTACTGGGCAGATTGTTAACCTTTTGTCGAATGACGTCAGCAAGTTCGATGAGGTAGGAAATTTCCATAACTTATTTGTCTTCCTCTTAAGTGTTACAGTCACCGGCTGTCCATTTCCTGTTTTTGAAGCAGGTCACTCACAGGGAATTTTTTTTTTATTTTTATTTTTTTATGGATTTAAACATGGTACTTGTTTGGTCAGGGAATTGTTTTGTGTAGTTCACTTTCCAGTTAAAACAGCCAAAGGCAGCACGAGTGATTTACCGTAAAGGGCTTGTGTTACTGGGTAACAGATTGGCCAGCGTTCAGAGTACCAGGAGAGGTCTCAAATAGGTCATCTTAACCTTTTGTGCATTTACAATCTGACTTTGGGTTATTGGAAAATTAAAATGATTAGTTAACCCCTTAACTGTCACTCACATTTTTGAACATAGACGTGAAAGTGCACGATCCAAACTTAAATTTTTATAATTCATGAACGAAAACATTTTGTAACATGATATTGATGTACCATTTTCATGGTAATGCAATGTTTGATTTTAAAATGGGTTTCAAAGGATGAATTTTGAGATTTAAAGTTTTCAATTGATATATAATTTCTGATGATTTCTAAAGTGTGATAGAGAAAAAGGCAACAAAGACGACTTTTTTTGACAAAGGTCAGAACTCCTGTATATGTAGATTTTTGAGGTGCACTCTTGTCAAAAATTAATCTATTACTTTTCCTACATAATTTTTAACAAAAACATTGGTAAAATCTATTTAGGAGTCTTAGACCTTTCCAACGATATATAGTTTGTCATGATTAGATTAGGATTTAATTGTAATATAGTGAAGTAAACTTAGGCGTCCCACAGAGGGGGACGGGTGACAGTTAAAGGGTTAAACAGTTTTTATGTGTTGTGGTTTCTGACATACAATATAACTCACCCATTAATCAGTCCAGTGGAGTCTCCAGCAGAGTTATTATCATTATGTGATGGATAGTTACTGTATGTGAAGTGTTGGCTGTGTGCCTTGTAACATGACTTTACAGATTTAATGCAGCTCAGTAAACGCATGACCATTTTAAACCATGTTCATTCTGTCTGAACAGTTATTCTGTGTATTTGTAGTAGGAATGTCATTGTTCTACATCAGTATTTGGAAGCGTTTCTCTTGCATTTACCAGCAGACATCAGAGGGGTTCCATGAAGAATTACCGGAAGTTCAGTTTTTGTTCAGACCAAGTTACCCGAAATAAGAACTTTGAAGTTTAAGCTACTTTTTTTTTGTAGATTCTAAAAATAATCTCTGGGACTGTTTGTAATATGATATTACAAAAGCAGTACACCGTGTCCCAAGTACTACACTAAAATATTGTCTCATGAACTACAACATGATACGTCATGGTTTTGTGCCACTATGTAGGGGCTTATTAAATGAACGCTGATGATGGAATACAGATATTGATTTTATGTAAAAACAATATATATAATCTAAATTTCTTTTATTTCTCAAAGAGTCCTAAAAGCATATCACAGTTTCCACAAATATTACTTATAATATTTATTAATATATATTCTGTCTGAACAGTTATTCTGTGTATTTGTAGTAGGAATGTCATTGTTCTACATCAGTATTTGGAAGCGTTTCTCTTGCATTTACCAGCAGACATCAGAGGGGTTCCATGAAGAATTACCGGAAGTTCAGTTTTTGTTCAGACCAAGTTACCCGAAATAAGAACTTTGAAGTTTAAGCTACTTTTTTTTTGTAGATTCTAAAAATAATCTCTGGGACTGTTTGTAATATGATATTACAAAAGCAGTACACCGTGTCCCAAGTACTACACTAAAATATTGTCTCATGAACTACAACATGATACGTCATTGTTTTGTGCCACTATGTAGGGGCTTATTAAATGAACGCTGATGATGGAATACAGATATTGATTTTATGTAAAAACAATATATATATAATCTAAATTTCTTTTATTTCTCAAAGAGTCCTAAAAGCGTATCACAGTTTCCACAAATATTACTTATAATATTTATTAATATATTAAGCAGCACAACTGATTTCAACATTGATAATAATAATAAATGTTTCTTGAGCAGCAAATCAGCATATTAGAATGATTTCTGAAGGATCATGTGACACTGAAGACTGGAGTAATGATGCTGAAAATTCAGCTTTGCATCACAGGAATAAATTACATTTTGAAATCTATTCAAATAGAAATTGTTATTTTAAATTGTAATAATATTTCACTATATTGCTGTTTCACTGTATATTTGTTAAAATAATTGCAGCCTAGGTGAGCATTAAAGACTTTTAAAAACATAAAAAAGAATTATCAACCCCAAACTTTTAAATGATTGTGTTTGTACATGTCAAAAAATGGTGTTACTATAGTGCCACATCCCCCATGGTAATAACATGGTATTTTTTTGGTTCATTTTTTGGTTAGTGAAGTGGTATGATATAATTGTCTGTTGTTTTGTTCACCTCTCTTGTCCCAGGTGACTATTTTTCTGCACTTCCTGTGGGTGGGGCCTCTGCAAGCCGCAGCTGTGATTGGTCTGCTTTGGCAAGAGATTGGAGCATCATGCCTTGCGGGCATGGCAGTTTTAATCTTTCTTATGCCACTTCAGACCATGTTTGGGAAGCTGTTTTCAAAGTACAGGTACAATCTCAGGATTACTCTGAAAAAACAAAATGGATCAGGGAAAAGCAATCATAAGAAGCTGAAAGGTTTAATCACAATCACAGGATGCTCTTCATGTCATGGCTAATAGTGTCAAGTAGGCTTTAGACACTTCAGAAAACATCTGTGAAAACACTTTTATCATCTCTTAAAAATCCCTTATATTTTTAATGAGTTGTGATATTTTCGATGAGCTTTGTTGTTCAAATGACAGTTTGTCTGGACTGATTTCCGTAATATAGAAATAATTAATAGCTCAAAAGAACAGTTCAAGTGCATGAATTAACTTTGCATGCTGAAGATGGTGTATTTTTCTGTTATGGTAGTTACTCGGTTCATAATGAGATGTTAATCATCTCCAACCATCTCCAAATAAGTAATTTACGAGAATTTATTGTGGTGATCAGTCTTACTGCAGTGTTAAAACACAATAAATCATAGTCACATGTTTCACCACATGCTCTTTCCTTCTGGGGTTATGCACTCTTTCTGAGGTTCAGAGCCAAACCTAAATATGATTCATCAATTAGAAACTTTTGTCACACGATTAAAAAAATCGTGCTACTTTAAAGGAAAATGTATGTGTATATATAATTATTTTAAAATCAAATACTTGAGTCATGGAAGGTGAAATATTCCAGAATATCTTTAATCTCCCTAAATAGAAATGGTAAAATTAGGACAATTTATTTTGCACTTTTCCTTAAAAACTTATAAATACCAAATTAATTCAGTTTTGTGTACAATTTGTTTTTCTCTAAAAACAAAGAAGATAACATAATACTCTTTTTGATTTTTGGTCATAAACAGCTAAAAACTCTCATTTGTTTGTTTCTTGTAGGAAGGAGATCTCAAAAATCATGAGCAGCTCTTACCTCCGAGGACTGAACATGGCCTCGTTCTTTACGGCGAATAAAATCATCCTGTTTGTGACGTTCACTGTGTATGTTCTGGTGGGCAACAAAATCTCCGCCAGCCGTGTGTTTGTGGCCGTGTCGCTGTACAGCGCCGTCCGCCTAACCGTTACTCTGTTCTTCCCTGCTGCTATCGAGAAAGTGTCCGAGTCTGCCATCAGCATCCGGAGGATCAAGGTACGACCGCCATCATTAGGCCACATTTACACTATATATGACTATATCTGATTTTTCTAACACGATGCTTAAGCTGTGTTTGCAAGCCAAAGTAAACATACTGACCCAGAAATGCTTAGACTGAAAAGGAAGTAAAAACGGCATGCTTTGCATTGGACTCAGATAAAATGATAATATAAGCATTTGCTCACTCAAAGTTTCAAAAGACATAAAACTTCAGCATGACTCCACTGGGTTGAGCCACCATTGTTTTTTAATTGACATATGACTTGTATTGACAGGGGAATATCGGATCTGTCCACTTAATTGGCAGATGCAAATGTCTAAACCAGTCTGAGAATCCATGCGCTTTTTTTCTGCTTAAGACGTTTTGTGCCACATGGGAGGAAAAAATCAGAATTGGTTCACTTGAACTGTAACGTAAATGCCAATCTTTGTGAAGTTACAGTGTTCCCATATCTTGGAAAACCTAGAATTGTGATTTCCAGGTCTGGGAGAGTCACGGAAATTGTTATAGTCTTGAGAAAAAAACAGTGCATACTGCATGAAATAGTGTATCCCATAATGCAATGTGGTTAACATTTCTTTTATGACATATTATTTGATCAGACTGCCAGTATATAAGGAATTTGTACATAAAATTGAATTAAAAATTCAAAATAATAATTTAAATTTCCAAATTGATAACTGGACTTACATGCAACATGATAGCGACCAGTGCTGGGGGTAATATATTACAAGTAACGCAAGTTACGTAATCAGATTACTTTTTTCAAGTAACTAGTAAAGTAATGCATTACTTTTTAATTTACAAGAGAATATCTGAGTTACTTTTTCAAATAAGTAACGCAAGTTACTTTTTTTTTTTCAATTTATTGATTGACAGCTCCCCTGTCCCCATGTTGAGAGAAATCAGAAGATGTTACTGTAGTTCTAAAATAAATATGAATATGCATTAATTCATCTCACTCACAAAAAAAAAACACACAGATTCAGTATTCCTCAAAATGAATAAAAATAATGCAACTCAGAATATGACGCAAACCTGCAATAATTAAATGTTAAACAACACAAATATCCTTTATGTATTTATTCCCATTCTATTAACCAATGTCTTTGCTTCTGACCGTCGATGATCCAGTTCAACCGTACTAAGCAAAAATTACTCTAGACGAACATTTGTGTGTTTTTTTTTTATTGCTAAAGTGTGTTGCAATTTCTTCTTCTGCATTCTACTGTACGGACGTAAATTTACTTCCCCTTCAGTCTGAGGCTTATTCATTTCACTTTTGGTGTGAAAACGCTTTTATATTTGCCAATATATATAAACTATATATATATATATATATAATTTTATTTTTTTTATTAATTCCAAAATGTATCAATATGCAACAAATAAGGAAAAAGAAGACAGAAATTTGCATGTTAGAAATGAGCAAGTTGATGCTCACAAACTCAAATATAAATATAAAAGTATATTTATGTTATATATGTCATACAGCATAAATGTACTAAATAAACTTTCGATATAAATAAATGAAATGAAAGATGATTTGCCAAGAACAGCTTCTAAATCTCTGGCTCGTCTGGTTGTGCTGAAGTGCTGCAGGTGTCATTTTCAGGGTTAATTTTAGATCTACTCCAAAGTTCCCACTGACACAGCTAATGTTGCGTAAGTCAAGAACCTGCAGATTTTGTAATCATGGAGTGTCTGCTTAGAGAAAGGAGCCTTTATATACAAAGCAGATGATTAATTTTCCGATTTGACCTCACATTGAACCCACTTCTTCCACTTGTCGGACAGTCCTAATTTGTGTCAACCAAAGAAACTCCAAAATACTGCGACTACACTGTAAGAGTGTCATTACAGCAGTTTTTTTTGTGTGATGGTCTTGTCTTCATGCATCATAAGTGTCTGTGGTCTTTCTCTCACATGCAGAAGTTCCTCTTGCTCGACGAGCTTGTGAAATCCCACGTTCCACTTACTCAGGAGGATAAGAAAGAGGCGTCTGTGGAGATACAGGATCTCATATGCTACTGGGACAAGGTGAGTTCAGTGGGACCAGGCCCTTGAAAGTACACACACCTTCCCCCGAGTTATGATTTTGGAAATGCAGAACTACAAGCTGCTATAGTTCCCACTTAAGGTTTCTTAAGTGTTTTTTTTTTTTTTTTTTGGTTGGCTTCCTTATGTATTTCACCTTTTGATTTTTTTTGATTTTTATAATAGATGTATTAATTAGTATATGTTGTGTTAATTAGTATTGATACTTACAAGATCATGCTCAAATGAACAAATAGTTGCCTCTCTGGTTCTGTACATGCACCGATCATGAAAAATGGTTTGAAAAGTTTTTTTTTAACAGTTAGTTCTTTCATGTTAAAATTTATATATCTTCTCCCCTCTCTACTTCACAGACTCTGGATGCGCCAACTTTACAAAATGTGTCTTTTAATGTGAAGCCAGGTCAACTTCTGGCGGTTATTGGTCCTGTGGGGGCGGGAAAGGTCAGTCACAATAATTCCATTCTCTGATTTCAGTTTTCCCAGGTTTGCATTTTAAATAGAAATGATCATGGCAGCCATGAGTGTTATTAGTTACTAATCTTCACCTCTCTCCCGCAGTCTTCTCTCCTCAGCACTGTTCTGGGGGAGCTCCCAGCAGAAAAGGGTGTGATAAAGGTCAAAGGTGAGCTGACGTACGCCTCCCAGCAGCCTTGGGTTTTTCCAGGAACCATTCGGAGCAACATACTGTTCGGAAAGGAGCTGCAGCCCCAGCGATATGAGAGCGTCCTCAGAGCCTGTGCGCTCAAAAGGGTGAGACGTGTATTAGTTAATTCATCCATCTCACTCTTGCCTTTCTAACCTGTTCCATCTACTTGTAAATTAAACTCTCAGTAAGATAATTTATTGTTTTCTTTTTGTAATTAGGGTTGTCAAATGAATTAATTACATGTGCTGATTACTTAATTTAAATAAAAACATAATTAAGTACATAGTTTTACACTATTCTTTAGAGTAAAAACAGTAATATTGTTAAATATTACAATTTAAAATAACTGTTTTCTATTGTAATATGTTTTAAAATGTAATTAATTCCTTTGATGCAAAGCTGAGTTTTCAGCATCATTACTCCAGTCTTCAGTGTCACATGATCCTTCAGAAATCATTCTAATATGCTGATTTGCTGCTCAAGAAATGTTTTTGCTTCCAAATCTCTTATCAGTTGTACTGCTTAGTATTTTTGTGTGTAAACCGTGATACATTTTTCAGGATTCTTTGATGAATATAAAGTTTTAAAAAAAAACCCGCATTTATCAGAAAAAGAAATCTTTTGTAATAAATGCATTTATTGTAACTTTTGATCAATTTAATGCAGCCTTGCTAGTTTTAGTATTTGGTTGTTGCTTTAAAACTTTAACTTCACATCTTCATAAAACTTTAAATACTATAAAACATTAACTGGACATCTTGTTGTTGTAAGCTGTAGTATACTAATACTGTAGTTCTTTCTGTTTTGTACAGGACATGGAGCTGCTTCCTGATGGGGATTTGACTGTGATCGGAGACAGAGGAGCAACCCTCAGTGGCGGACAGAAAGCTAGAGTCAACCTGGCTAGGTATCCCAACCTGTTAACACTTGAAAAATCAACCATTTTTCACCTTTATTATACAAATTCGGCAATTTAATAAAACCCCATTTCTTACTTTAACTGATACATTGTTCTGAACAAAATAAGATTAAAAATGATATAATGTATATAAAGCATAGTATGTGCTTTCAGAAGACTGCATCATGGACATGCTGAGGATATAGTTAAACAATGACATTTTGTAATGTGAAAAATATATGAAATGGAAAAAAATAAATAATTTCAAAATAGCAAACTAGCATATATTTGCTAATGCAAAGGAATATTTAAGAGCTGTTTTATTAGTTTATTAGTAACATATCTGTTACTGTCTGTGGGTTTTAGGGCTGTGTATCAGGATGCTGATATTTACCTTTTGGATGATCCATTGAGCGCAGTGGATGCAGAAGTGGGTAGACACCTGTTTGAACAGTAAGTCCATACTCTTCATTGATCCTGTTGTGTTTTACTGTTGCTATTCATAAGGTTCTTTTTCGGTACATTGAAAGCTTTTAGTTTTCAGGGACAGTCAAGCTCTGCAACAGGCATATACACATATATATAT